CAGTGTCCTCAGTGTGTCCAGCAGGAGTCTGTCTTGGACAGGACCAGTGTCCTCAGTGTGATCTTACCTGGTGATCTCATGAGGAACTCTTCCCTGGATGTAGATGGACATCCCAGCTCTCAGGTTTCCATTGATCGGGCCAAGGTAGGGGACTGTCTGCACACAGACAACATCACACAGCATGACTACACCATAGTATTCCTACACGACATGTATGACAGCACCACATTGTTATGCAGCATTTCTACCTAACACTCAGTGTTAGAACAGTGACCAATTCATCGATCCTCCCAATAAAGCTCGCTGGTCTGGAATATGAGGAGCTGCCCTGTCTCTCTGCGGGCTCTTCTTTCGGATGTTACAGTACATCCAAATTCCAGTCCTCTGTGATTGTATTGGGGCAATCCCTGTGGAATCACGTCACACATGATGAGGGGGAAACACGAACTCCCAAATGGAAGAGAGGAGGAAAGAGCAGGAGGGCGGGAGAGGGCAAGAGTGACTGAAGGAGAGAGGGACGCAACAGCAGAGAGGGGGGGACAGACAGCGACACAGAGCAGCTGGACTCACGGGATTGTAGAGCGGCTGGTATCCGGGTGGAGCAACAAAGGTCATGGTGAATCCCGGAGCTACAGCAGGACAGGCAGACGGACCAAGACAGCAACAGGCTCAATACTGTACAGAGCCTCTGATCCTGGGAGCTTGGTCTTATACAGTTGACTGTGGGAGGGGCACGAGGCAGGGCTGTGCCAACTGGAGACAGGGAGCGAGAGACAGGGAGGGACAGGAGGGAGGGGCAGTTATTAAAGAGTGACAGAGAACAAATGGGTGAATGAAGGGACTCAGATACGTTATGAAAAAGACAGGGAGGAAGAAGCGAGGGAGAGAAGGGGGAGTTTCAGAATGACAGGGGGACAAATGGAAGAAGAGGGAGAAGAGACACCAGACCGCTTTATTCAAGCTAACACAGAAATGAAAACCCAAACAATCAAAATCGTACAAATAATTCAGCAAATACGGTACATTGCCAACGTAGTGTGTTACTGTAGTTCAGGTGGGGGGCTGCGTCAGCATGCGTAGTCTGCAAAGGAACAAGTAAAGGCTTATTCCATGCTGAAAAGAGGAGAGAGAAAACACAACGTTTCGGCTGTGAAGCCTTCTTCAGGTGAGGGGAGGGAAGTGTGTTACTGCAGGTAGTGTGTTACTTCACACTCCATTCCTGCACCACAAAATCAAAGTTAATCTCTAGAAGCCACGCTAGTATCACACTTGCCCTGATCCGTGTTAAAGCCAGGGCAGAAATAGGTCTGACTGCCACATCTCCTGCTGGGGTGCAGAGGGAGTGTGTGCAGCAGCACTGCTCAAGAGCAGCCCGGGTCCCCCGCCTGCCCTTCCCCTGACCCAGCGCTCGACCTCCTCTGAGGAAGGAGTGACTCACAGCTGCTATCAGAAGCCACTGTGTACATTAGCAGTGGGAAACACTGTTACTAAGGGCTGCTGCTGTCCAGCCCAGCAGCCCTCCCAACGGCCAGCGCTGGCCTGGCCAAGGTCATTAAAAACGAACCGGTCCCGAATCGACACTCTTACACCTAGAAGATAATAATGAACTCAAATAAAATCCTGAATCCCCACATTGCATGTGTGGATGTTAGTTAAAAGGACTTGTTTGTCCGAGGGGGCCCACAGGGCGGCTGTTTGTGGGATCAGAACGGCGCTCTGACCCAAAACATGAGCTGGTCGCAGGCACACTGACAGCGCAGCGAGCCGACAGCTCCAGACATCCGGCTCTGACTGGGGCTCACTGGCATCACAGGGCCAGGACTCTCTCGGCTCTCCTGTGGCTCTGCTGCTGGGCACCGTGGAGATCGCTGCTTGTCCAAATCCAGCCAGTACTTTGTTCAGGAAAAGAAAGGCTGTGTTAGCTGGACCCAACATGAATGTGAGTATTACAGAAAGCACTGTACAGCATATACTGTAGTGGAAGAGTTACCTCCCTGGAACCTGATTTCATTATGTCTCTGAGGCCAAGCCAGTCTGGACATTGTCAGTACTGGATCCCTAAGGGAAACCAGGCTGCTGCTGCACAGAGACCAGAAAAACTGTGTGTAGGAGACTTAGATGAGTTTTAAGTTTTAATTTTAAGATATTAAAACAAATCCTGTTCACTTGGACATGAAGTGTTAATTCTTGTGTCCTGACTAAATTCCATACTGTGTTACAGTCTGACAACTCTGGAGTTTTCCTTAATTCAGCTGGTGAGTCCTTCCCAGATATAGGACAGGCAGAACTGTCCACAAGACTCCTGGACACATATAGTACTGTCCACAGCACTCCTACACACAGACAGCACTGTCCACAAGACTCCTGGACACAGACAGCACTGTCCACAGCACCCCTGCACTCCCGGACACAGACAGCACTGTCCACAGCACTCCTGGACACAGACAGCACTGTCCACAGCACTCCTGGGCTAACCAGTCCTCCTGTGCTGGCTCAGGCATGGCATAGGAAAAGATGTGTGTTGTGCACAGTGCTTATCAGTGTCATACGAAATGGATCAGAGGAGAGAGATGCAGTCACTCGCTGAGGCAATGTGCTGCAGCTCAGCTCTGTGCTCTGACTCACAGTGAAAATCAGATTGCGCAGGTCTGAGAACAAGAACAAGAGAAACTCCCTGAATAAACACAGCACCTTCGATACACCCAGCTCCCCTTACACACAGCCAGAGGACCCTTCACATACAGACTGCATCATTTACATACACAGAGAACCCTTTACACAGACTGACGTACTCACACCCTTTACACACACAACACCCTTTACATGTATACTGACATACACCCTTTACACACAGACAAATAACATATGCAGACTGGACCAGCAAACTCTGGACTGTAGGGTTACAGTATGACACAGACTGGACCAGTGATCTCTGGACTGTAGGGTTACAATAGGACACAGACTGGACCAGTGATCTCTGGACTGTAGGGTTACAATATGACACAGACTGGACCAGTGATCTCTGGACTGTAAGGTTACAATATGACACAGACTGGACCACTGATCTCTGGACTGTAGGGTTACAATGTCACAGACTGGACCAGTAATATCTGGACTGTAGGGTTACAATAGGACACAGACTGGACCAGTGATCTCTGGACTATAGGGTCACAATATGACACAGACTGGACCAGTGATCTCTGGACTATAGGGTCACAATATGACACAGACTGGACCAGTGATCACTGGACTATAGGGTTCAATAGGACACAGCCTAGACTTTGAACTCTTTAGAATGACAAATATCAATATATGGTACAGCAGCTAAAATTGAGCACAATATTCTAAATGAGGTCAGAAGCATTTTAAAGTTTGCCTATAACTGCACTGTATTGAAATTCCACCGTCTTAGCTGTATATCCAAATATTCACTTTTTTGGGTTGTGAACAGTGTGAACAATACATTTGCATGAATAATAATATGCTAAACAAACTGAAATACATTGAAGGACTGACAAAAAATGTATAAAAGCAGAGCAAAAATTCTGAACGATTATTAAATAAAAATTGTAAAAGAGAAAATAAGTTATGTAGAAATAGTAAAAGATAGAATAAAATTATGATAAAATTACAAAGAAAAACAACACACTGGTCACAGTAACATTATAACATGCTGTATATATAGTTCTGTCCTTACAATAAACCTAAGCACAGGTACAGTAGATGCACTTTCTATCTCTCTATCCTTCTCCCTCCTCACTCTATCATGAATTAAGACGCCCCTAGTGCTCTGACAGCTCATGGGGCTGTAGGGGGCTGTGTCTGCATGTGCGTTTGTATCTCTGACACATGATCTGTGATTGTATAGGTGTTTGTGGAGTTGGGTATATCAATGTGTCTGTGTACAGTATGTTGCTGTGATTACGTTCTCATTTCTGTCTCTGTGTGTTAATGATGCTGAGACTGTGTATATTTGTGCCGCCTTGGTTGTGTAAGCATGCTGTTGTGATCGTGTATCCGTGTGGATTTTTGCAGCTGCGACTGTGTCTCAAAATACAGCGCACACCTCTCACGTCCTGCTCAACACCAGTCTTACCATAAGGCCGGCACCAGCTCAGGCACTACACACTGCCTGGCAACGCAGACACCCTGAGCTTCCAAGGACGAACCATGTGGTCTGGAACCCATTGAGAGCACACGATCGGGGGCGCGCATTTCGTAATCAGCGCTCCCACACCTGAGCTGAAAGGGGGTCAAAGGCTGAGACACCAGTATGAACAGCTTTCATGGCAGTGCAAACAATTGGTGCTCATGTGTGGGGCAGCTCCGCGCCGGGAGATAGCAGAACAGGGTGTGCATGCACAGCGCCAGGCTGAGGGAAGGGCCTTATCAGTGAAACCAGGGTGGGGAGATTTCATCACTCGGCACAATTATTATTTTGCAATAATTATCACTTTAATGGAGTTTGTATTGTGATTGTTACTGATTCTTTCGGTTAATGGCAGGATTGTAAAAGAAGGTCTTTGAGCCTGTAGAAATGTCGGGGCGTAGCTGACGCTCCTGCTGGCCTGAGGTGCCCTGAATGGTCCCAGCTTTGGCGAACAAGGAGAGCATGTTAAAGGAAAGAAGTGATCAGAGCACAGCGAACACGTGACATCACTATCGAAGCACAAGAGGCCTCACACCTCCTCTTCGATGTCAGCACTTTAAAGTATTCCAAGACCGAGCACATCTGATGGCATCATACAAGTCGGCCGTGACTACTGCATGTGCTTAATGTGATCTCTCCTGGGGGAGAGATGCCCGTGCGGTAGACATTCCCAAACCTTCAGACACACTGATTTGAGGTTTGAGGATCAGTTCATGCCCACAGCTCGTATGGATCCAAGGGGACAAGGGGGGCAGGTCATCGCTAGGCCACGCAAACAATGAGCCGAACCCGACGGGTGAAGGGAGAGGGCTTCTACGAGCAGGCCAGACGAGATCAGTTCATTTACAGGGAGAAGACACAACAAAGATCTAAACTTTCAATATATTGGAACAGAATTTTTCAAGTGAACGAACATTTTCTAAGAGAAGGTACAGCACGTTCTTGAAAAAAAAAAGGTAGCGGGTTTATTCCTTGCTGAAAAGAAAAGAAAGGAAACAACGTTTTGGCTGTGGAGTCACACCTGAAGAAGACTCCACAGCTGAAACGTTGTGTTTCTTTTCTTCTCTTTTCAGCAAGGAATAAACCCGTTACCTGTTCCTTTGCAGTCTACGCATGCTGAGACAGCTCTCTACTTTAACTACTTCAGCCATTATTGAAAATGCTGTATTTACTAGAGCTTTTAGGAATGGACTTGATTGCTTTAGCCTTATGTTTTTTGGTTTGGAGGAACATTTTTAAATCTGATTAACGGGGTGCTTCAGAGATAGACTGCAGAATTGCTCAGTTTTAAGATTCAAACTTGTAAATGATTGTGGGTCCTGTGGCACAGTGTGGCAAAAGCAGAGTAAAGTGTAGTAAAGCACAGAGGGAGCACAGTAAACCAAAGTCACACCCAAGCCAGACTCGCACACACAAAGTCATGGACTTTCCAAGCTCAGAAGTAATACATGTGCAGAGTACAGCCGGCTGATCCAAAGGCTGAGGTAATGGATATGTCACCAGGATGATCTGGGATCAAGCCTCTCCGCTGCTCTGAACACACAATCCCTCTGTGGAAGTCACAGAGCCTCCTTGTTTACCACCTTTGGGAGATGTCAAGCTGAGGTCCCGACACTCTGATGCTGCACCTGCTCACAGCACAGGTTATCCCTGGTTGGCTTCATGGAGTGAGGCGCACAGCACCAAGGACATGCCCGCAAACAGGACGTGTCTGCTTCAGCACCTTCAGCAGGCATGCTCCAGGTGCTTGGCTCTTCACATACACATAAAGCAGCACTGCCCCATCTCCAAATCACAAACCACCTGCGACAAGTTAAACCCCCTGAGCAAGTCGAAGTCATTAAAAAGGACACGCGCAATGTGATCCAACACGTAATGTGATTCACATAACAGAAGATCGGAATTTGACAGTTCACACAAGAGACCTGGATTTGTGTGAGATGTCTGGTGTACACCCCTGGGGTATGGGTCGAATATGAGATTTCTCATGTACAGGTACGTCGACACACAGTATAGGGTCAGACCGTTAGGAATAACTGTCAGTACAAACTCTGTGGTTTGTACAAGTCTCCTGTTTGGCAAGGAACTGAACCTTTATCTCTGTAAACCTGAACCAAGAGTGTGTGGCATACCCCCTCCACTCTGAATTACACTACTCCATCTGGGAGACGGCAATAGACTCCTGAAAACTACGCTAAAGGGTAGCTGGCCATAGTTAGCAGGGAGAAGAGTGTGACAAGAGCCAAACGCACACGCAGACACACAGCTGTGTTTGTGCTGCTGTGATTGTGTCCCTAAAACACGATCTGTGATTGTGTATGTGTTTGTTACAGTGTCTATACCCAGTGTTTTGGGGTTTCAGTGTGTATTTCATGACATTCATGACACTTTTCATGATTTATAACCAGAATCCTTATAGAATATTACACACTTCCCTTCTCTCCATGCTTTCTGTCACACACACACCTGTGTCAGTCTCCCGGACTGAGATCAGCCTCACCTGTGAAGTGTGATTGAGAGAGTGATGTAACAAGAGACCCAGCGATTGTTACGTTCAGCGAGAAGCAGCTCTGGCATGTTTGTTCATTAGCAGAGTTTGTGTTAGACTTTGAAACAATGTCACAATTGCAGGTTAAAGAGACATAATGTGATCTAAAATGAACACTGAAAACAGAACAGTATGCACACTGTATGTTTTTTTTTCTCCTGAGGGTAGAGTTTTGCACAGGGAGTAGGTCTTCTACAGTATATATACAGTGGGTACAGTAGGTAGATGTGACCTTAGATCTGAATTATTTACCAGAAATCTCTACCAGAGACAACAAATCCTAATTTGAATGACAAATCTGAGGTCAGAACCCACACAGCTGTCATTATTTATTGGCATGTTTATTCACAGAACAGAAAAACCCATATAATCATTGCTTGGTTTTGTTCCATTTGTATACATACTTTCAGTGAAATATGAAGTTGAACAGAGCAGTCAGGGGTGGGATTAGGGGGTATAGCCACAAAGGAGATACTGAATTCAATTAAAAAGATGCTACTGACTGAATCATTACTGTTACAATTGTTAGATTTCCTTTCACTCTTTGAAGTGTGTGGGGCTGTTTTAAAGCTCCTCTGGAAAGCACTCTGACTTGCCTTGGAGGAGGTCTTTTTTGGATGTTGTGCTTTGTAAAAAATAGAAATTGAAGGCTCTCACCACAACAAAAAAAACCCAACACAAACTGATCAGTGGAAGTGATCAAACTGTTTGATTGACAGGTAATGAAAACACAAACTTGAAAGTGATGCCCTGTCACTGTCACGGAGAAGAGGCGCTAGCACACAGCTTAGGAGAGGAGGCAAATCGACCAGGCGTCTCGGGACCTTCTCCCTCTTGTGGTAAGATTGTGGTTACCTGACACAATCGTTCTCTTTCTTCATCGTTTATTACAGACGGACATCAACCAAGCTGTCTTCTTCACCCCTGTGGTGTGTGTGTGTGCGTGCGTGCATGTAACCTGGTGCAAACTGTATCTAGATAGCAGCCCAAGTGGCAAAAAGAAACATGGCTTTCTGAACAGAACAATGACTCCGCCCAACTGTGGAGGCTTGAAAAGGGTGCTGGGAGAGGTTACAGCGCCCTCCGGAGGTCTGTCCAGCCACCACGCCCAGGCCTTGCACTGATACTTCAGGGAGCACTTTATCCCTTAGAGTCCTATTATACCCCACCCACCACCCCATCCACAAATTGCAAGGCCTGGACTCTCAGTCCACACACACGCGCGCGCACACAAATGTGCACAGTCCTTATCCGAGTTGATCCTCATATTGCTTTCTAAAACAGTCTCCAGCCGGGAAGAAATCCCAGCATCTCTCCTGATACATCTTCCACACATAGGACTCCTTCCAGACAGCCAGAGAGAGAGGCGAGAGAGAGGGAGAGGGAAGGAGAGGAGGAAGAGGGATGAGGGGAGGGA